ACACTATCCCATTCTTCCTATCACTTTCTGAAGCAGTTCAGGAAGTCCTTTCTCTTGAGTTGCTCTAAAATCGCTGCCCTGATATCATGTGTCAGTTAAAAAGGGATAGCCTTAAATTTTCATTTTTTTATGGCTTTTGGCCTAAGGTTGTGGCTAAAATCAGAAAAAACTAGAGGTCAGAGTTCAGGGAAAACACACACACTGCAAAGTGAGGAAGGAAAATCTCAGAAAGGAGTGGCAAATGGGAAACACCAATAGGCACCCAGGACTTGGAGGCAGAAAGAAAACTTTATTTACATCAATGGGCCTGGTTGGGATAATTCCTCAGAGATCCAGGCAACTGTCTTTTGTCTGTCTACAGTTTATACAGGATTTGCAAACAGGAACTAGTACAGAAGCAGAATAAGAACTGAACTGGTGACATATTAGTTACATATAATATTATTACTGATAGGGCTACAGCAAGTTCAAACTCAGGGTAAGAAACATTAATTTTAGGGTAGGGTTGGCTAGATAAGGTGGACACACATTTGGTCTATGCAGCAGTTCAGGATAGGGTCTGCCAAAGAGGAGCAGATAAGGAAGACATGTTCTTAAGAGTGGGCATCACAGAGAATGTGTTACTGTCCAGAATGGGTTCAGGGACCAGGCAGATATAGGGAGTTACTGAGTTATGCTCTTGGTAGTACTAATAATAGTTATGGGAAGTTATGTGCTTGGCAGCACTAGCAAGAAAATACATGCTTACACTAATCATTCCTTACAGACAGGACTATGGAGTTATTAATTCTAATTTCAGATCAATCCTTACCACACATTTCCTTCTCATTATACACACACAAGGCTGGCTCTAAGAAGCACAACTTATCCCTAGGGAAATGCTCTGACATCTGAACTGTTGCAGGGGAGACAGTTTGGGATTTGAATTCATCCAAATGAACTGTCTACTAATTAATTATAATACAGACACACAGTCTTTACAGGCAGATAACACAATCCCTATGCCATCATTTATGATGCCCAGGATATAATCCAGAATTACTGGCCAGGCGTGGTGGTGTACACCTGTAATTCCAGCACTGGGGAGGCTGAGGCAGGAAGACTGCAGTGAGTTCCAAATTAGCCTGGGCTACATAGTGAATTCGAGGGCAGTCTGGACTACATAGCAAGACCCTCTCTCAAAAAGCAAAACAAAACAAAAAAATTCCAAATTACTCAACTTGCAAAAAGGAAAATATGTGACTGTTTTTAAACTGAACCCAGGGCCTTCACACTGACCTACATCCCTCCACCCCTACTTTTTTTATTTTGAACAGTGTCTCACCTAAATTGTTCAACTGCTGAGACTAGGCTCAAAATTGTAATTCTCTTTCCTCACCCTCCAAGTGCTGGGATTAAAAGTATGTGCCACCACATACAGCCTCGTGACCCACATTTAAAAATAATATATTTAATGAAGACAGATTTCAAGGTGATCCAGATCTTAGATAAATTAGGACTTGAGCAAATCGAGTCAAGCAAGTGGGCATAATCTGTCAAAATCATGAGACCTCTGGCACATGCACAGAACACAGGCTTTGGGGTGGCTTTGTAGTTCCTGAACACCATACGTGGGACCAATCAGAAAAGTGCCATTTTCAATTCTTCATTTATATCTGGCATGAAACCAAGCAAGTCTTTGATAGGACAGTTTAAATCTGGCACCAGGCCAAATGAGTTTTTGATAGGACAACTATCCCCAATGATTTGTTTGCATGAGGGAGAAGCAATTTAGAAATTCTAGATACAAAAGACCCCCCTCCATTATCCTCAAGGACACTGTGAGCCTTTTCACCAGCCTACTCTCACTCTGCACAGCAAACTTCTTTTCCACCTTTAATAAATGCACATCTGGGCTGGGGATGTAACTCAGTGGCTCCACACTTGCCTGGCAAGTGCAAGGTCTTAAATTCGATTCCTGCCCAATATTTTGCTCAGGACACCAATTACTTGCAAAGAATTTCCCCAGGCCCCAAAAGCTAGGATTAAGGATTTCTTTTTTCTTTTCTTTTCTTTTTTTTTTTAGGATTAAGGAATTTTAACTATGCTGATGGATGTAAAGGCACAAATGCATATAATCAATAAAAAGATAAGAAATCTCAGTAGAGAAATAAAATTATAAAAAAAGAAAGCAATCAGCCAGATATGGTGGTACACACTTCTAATCCCAACTACTCAGGAGCCTGGGAAAGGAAGATCATGAGTTGGAGGTCAACCAGGGCAACTTAGTAAGACCCTATCTCAAAATAACAGGAGAAAAAAGGCACAGGATATTGCTTAATGGTACAGTGCTCCTGGGTTCCCCAGTACTTAAAAAAAGTGGATTTCCAAAAGGTGAGGATACAAAGACTCAGAAAGAATATCTGATAAAATAATGGCAGAATGGTCCCCAATTTGGAAAATACTAATTTTTATAGAGTATTCAAGGTCAGCAAACCAGAGGCAGGGTAAATATAAAGAAAACCACTCTTAGGAACATGATAATGAAACCACTAAAAAACAAAGACAAGTTCTTGATGGAAGCCAGAAACTGACAAACTACTACATAGTGAACAACAGCAAAAAGAATGATGATTTCAATGACATGACTTTTTGTAAGAAACCGTAGAGATAAAAGACAGTTTAACCTAAAATTCTATATCCAATGAATATACCCTTTAAAAATCATGGTGAAATAAATACCCTTTTTAAAAAAACTAGGTTGTGCCGGGCATGGTGGCACACGCCTGCAATCCCAGCACTCAGGAGGCTGAGGCAAGAGGATCACTATGAGTTCCAGACCAGCCTGGGCTACATAGTGAGTTGTAGGTCAGCCTCAACTACACAGTGAGATCCTGTCTCAAAAAAAACAAAAACTGGGTTGCCAAGTGTAGTGGTACACACTTGTAATCCCAGCAGTTGGGAGGCTGAGGTAGGAGGACTGACATGAGTTCAAGGCCAGCCTGAACTATATAGTGAGTCCATGCATTTAAAAAAAAAAATTGGGGATTGAATCCAGGGCTTCATGCAGTCCAGGCAAGAACTCTACCACTGAGCTATGTCCTCAGCCCTAAAAGGGCACCTTACTTGCTCTGAGGCAGAAAAGGGAGAAAAAAGCCAGTACACTCTAACCCTGTGAGTGCCAGATACCCTCTTCCCACCCACCCTACCCACTGCTTCCTTTTAGATAGCCCCCAGGAAGTTCAAGGACCCTTTCAGCCATCTCATTAGAACTATATTAGTCTACTACAGAGGGGGAATGTATCACATCTGTTCTCTATGTGAGGCTTTGGAAAAGGTATCTAACCCTGTGAATACCTTTTGAAGAATCCAGACACAGATGAAATTCTGCTACATATCCAGTTACACCTTGTAATCTCATTCCCTACTCCAGCTGTACATCAAGAATTTAAAGATGCAGAATGCTCAGGAGATGCTTTGGATATATTCTTTAAAAAGTTCTTAATACTTTGCTTCTCACACTGGAGGGTGTAGACAGATGAACACTAAAAGTATAACATACCTACCTTGAACATCAAATTTTTGTTATTACATATAATTGTCCTTATGTTAGGGCTATGTTTTAGAGTAAAATGCAAATGTTTGAGGAGAAAAAACTTGGTATAGACACTAAGTATGGTATGCGGAAAAGTTTTGAGTTTTGTTTTGCAGGATATGTTGGCACATCCTTATAATCCTAGATACACTAGAAACTGATGCAGGATTCCAGGTTCAAGCCCAGCCTGGACCACTTAACAAGACCGTGCCTCAAAACTAAAAAGTGTTGGGAATAGAGCTCAGTGATGGTACAGTACTTGCCCAACATATCCGAGCCCTAGATTCAATCTTTTGTTTTGAGACCAGGTCTTGCTATGTAGCCCAGGCTGGCCTTCAACTCACATCAATCTTCCTATCTCAGCCTGCCAAGTGCTGGGATTACAGGTGTGTGCCACCACCTCTGGCCCAAGATTTAATCTTTTTAACTGTATTATTTGATGGGAAAATTTTTTTCCTCATTGAGTTTATTGATACATTTCAGGTATACAGTACAATTACATTCATCACTGGAATTTTGTACCTTTACATGACAGGTCTTGGTTCTCATTTTTTCCCCTTATCCCTGCCCTCCCTTCACCCCCTCCTCCCTCCTTATTTACAAATACTTTATTTCCATTTTTTCATTTTCTCATGTTTCCCTTATTTCCTTCCCACTTCCCCTAAAACCTGATGGGAAATTTGGACCCAGAAAAACTGGGCTTATCCTTCTGGAAGTATTTAGGGATGCTGTTGAAGGAAGGACAGAAACCAGTAGGGAAACCAGGTCATCTAACTATTTCAGAGACCAGCTAAAACCTGCTTAGTAAGCCTCCCCTCCAATACTAAGAAGTAAGCATCAAGTATCTGGGAGAAATTCTGATCACCCTGCCAACAAGAAGCCTGGACTCTAGAGCAAAGGCCAAACACTAGCAGTAGTTTTGTTGTTTCTGGGTTTTTGTTTGGCTATTCTTTTGAGCACTGCCAGCTATTTCTGTCTACTTGCTGAGCTGCACATGCCTTCCAGCAACTAATTCCTGGAAACAAAAGCACCAAGTGGAAGAGCAAGAAAGGATATAACTATGAAAGTTGACCTCTCAGGCAACCAGAAATCTCAGAAGACTCAACGGATAGAGCTGATCTGAAGGAGAAAAGGGAATGAGACAGACTCAAAGGGGAGCAGGTGCTGGTGGTGAGGGATGTTAGGAAGCTTACTGGATAAAGACCAGTGGTTCCCCAGCACAAAAGAACATAGCGCCCAAAAGGGGATTTACTTAAAGGCCTCTACTGATCACTATGTATGTACCACTAGGGAACATTTCACGTTTACATTTAACTTTCAGATTTCCTCTAGAACTTATTCATAGTTTTACGATGGTCCTAGTTTTTCTCCAAATGTATCCAGAAAACTGGATATAGCTACACCTGCCACCTTAGCACATACATACCTTTCTTGAGAATTTTCTTTACCTTCACATAGTTGCCTTGTTTGACATACTCATGAAGTTGAGCTTCCAAGGAGTCATTTCTTAAGGTACCAAGTCGAACAGGACAAGGAACTGAAAGACGAACAGCCCGAGACATCCTGTTTCAAAAGAGAAAAACAGACTTAGGCTTAATGAACCAGAGACACAGAGGCAAGATACTCTCACATTTGGAAAGCTGTCCACCTTCATGAATACAGTTGTCCCTAAACATCTAAGGGGGTCCGGCTCCAGGACTCATGCAGATACCAAAATCCACAGATGTTCAACTCCCCTATATAAAAGGGCACAGTACTGGTGCAATCTTGTTTATATCCTCCCATTAAACTTTTTGTTTTTTGAGACATTCTCCCTATGTTGTTATTATAGTCTTGCCTCAGCCAGCCTCCACAATACTTTAAATGACCTCTGCATTTCTTAAATGCAATGTGAATAGCTGTAATGATGCATTTTTTTTGGAAACTAGAACTAAAGAAAAGTCTATGTTACATTTTTCTCCTTTTCAGAGCAACACACTGCTGTACAACCAAAATTCTTTTTCTGTATTTATGAATTTACTTAGCTATTCTTTTGAGACAAGATCACAGCAAATACCATAACTGCCTCAAGTGGTAGGATTGAAAGCATGCACCACCACATTCCACTTTTCAAATCTGAGACAAGATGATAAAAAGTTCAAAGGTAGCTGGGGGAACTGAGGAAGATGTCAAAAACGGTTGGAAGGGCAGGCCAATGGTAAAAGGTTTGTACAAGGACCTAAGTGCAAACTCAAGCAACCACCATCAAAACCAAAAATCAACAGGTGCACAGTCCCGTCCCTACACATGGACTACTGATTGCAAAACTTTCCCACCAAGTTATTCATATAACTAATGTCACTTTCCACAAGTTAATTTCCTAAGAAAAGTTTAAATAATAGTAAAGCCAAAAATCGAAGTAATATCTCAAAATGCAAGCAATATGGATATAAAAATAAGTTGTTTTTAAAAATCATTGCACCAAAATAAGAACCCCCACCACACCCAGTTATACAGTTCCCTATATATGGAAAAACAGAAAGAAGACTCACGCAAGGGACACATTCCACACAGATAAAAAAATCACGTATATAGTAACAAATAATCTTTAACGCATACAAAATAAAAAAGATTTCCTGATCTGCACACCACCTCACCCTCCTGTCACACTCATCACCTACTCAGGGTCACTCACACGCCCGCTCCTTGCCGCCCTCCTTTCCCAACCTCACGCTTCCCACCCACACCCCTCACACTCCTTTCTCGGGGGACCCACCCGGGGGAACTCGGCGGCGGCGGCAACAACGCACGGGAACCGGCAACCACCGCGTCTCATCTACATGGCCCCGCCCCCAGGTGACGTCCACCGCGGCGTCACGGCTTCTCCCCGCGCTTCCCTTCCGGAGGACCGGATCCCACCGCGGGGGCCGCCGAAGCCAACTGTGCTCCTTTCTTAGCGCGGGTCTCAGCCGCGCCCTGGTGGCGCTGGGGGGGGGGCAAAGAGGTCTTAAGAGCGTTGGGGCGACACAGCGGAAGGCGGCACGGTGGGTTGGGCCAGGTATGAGTCGCTGCCTCCGCCACGCACCGGGTCAATCCTCAGTCCGTCTCCATTTCCCAGCAATCTACTAATGGTGATCCCGGGAAAGCCCCCTCCTGAGGTCACCTGCAAATGAAAATTCACTAAAGGTAACCAGGCAATGAGGAACTCACAACTCTGGATGACAAAGCCTGGAAACAAACTCTATGCTTGGGTAGCAGGTCAATGTGCATACTGCAAACTAAATTCAGACACTAGAAAGATAAACGTCCGTTCCTTAAACTGGATACAAAGCAATCTGGCTGTTTGGGTCCACTCCAACCCGAATCACTTCTTGCCTTGTGAGGCCTGAATGACAACTACGCCCCTGAGAGCCCATGGTCACTGTTAAGATCGGGGACAAATCTATAACTTTCATGGTAAATTATTGGAGCTAAACACTCCATTGTGACTCAGCCTGTGGTTCCTTTGGGCCCCCCATGACTACAAGTCACAGGAGCACTGGAGCTTCTTCTAAAAAACAATTATGTCACAGCTGATCCTGTGATATTGGAGGACATTTTACAAAACATGAGTTCCTTCCTTTGTATGCTTGAATGCTCTGTTCCTCTCCTAGGACAGGATCTACTCTCCAAACTGGGAGCAACTATTTCCTTCACTCCAAGCTGGCCAGCTTCCCTCTCACTTGGCTTCCCTGTCCAGGAAGTGCTCTTGACTTTGACTATACTCCAAGAAGAATGGTATCTACACCAAAGTGAGACATCAGACAACCAAAATCCTGAAACTTGGCTGAAGATTCACCTCCTGGGCTACAATAAACCATGCCCCACTGATAACCGAACTTTGTCTAATGGCCAGTTGCTATTAAACAGTACCCAATGTCACAAGAGGCCCAACTTGGCATACAACCTCACATTTCTCACCCGAAGCAATTTGGAATCCTGACAGATTGCCAGTCACCCTGGAACATGCCACAACTCCCAGTAAAAAAAAGCCTAATGGAGACTATAGACCTATTCAAGACCTCTGAGATAAATGCACCCTGCTACAATACACAGATGATTCATTGATCTGCAGTGCTGAACAATCAGACTGTTGGAGGGGAACTCAAGTCTTCCTATGCTACCTACAAACAACAGGCTATGAGGGGCCAGTGATTTAGCTCAGTGGTTCTGCCGCCTGCCTTTAAAGTACAAGATCCTGAGTTTGATCCCTAGTACCCAAAAAAGCCCCAACAAAACAAAACAAAACAAAAAAAACCCAAAATAAAACAAAAACAATAAGGCTATAAGGTCTCCTGGAAAAAAGCCCAAATATGAAAGCCCAAAGTGCGTCATGTAGGTTTCAACCTAGAAGAAGAACTCCAATGCCTGGGCCCACAAAGAAAAGAGGTGGTATCTTCCATCCTGAAACCTAAAACCAAAAGATGACTTAGGGAGTTTCTGGGGGCTGCAGGATTCTGCCAGATATGGATACTTGGCTTTGCTGAAAAGGCCAAACCCCTATATGACATGTTGACAGACAAGAAAAAAATAATGTAGTAATGGACTGGGCTATAAATCAAACAGAAGCCTTCCAGACTATAAAACAAGTACTGTCAGATACTCCAGCCCTGGGAATTCCTGACATGACCAGACCCTTCAACCTGTTTGTTGATGAATGGAGATTTGTGGCATCTGGAGTCCCAACCCAGATAATTGGGAAAGTCCTACTGCTTATTTATCAAAGAATCTGGATCCTGTAACAAAAGGCTGGTCACCTTGCCTGAGGGCACCGGAATAACTGTTCTCCTGATTAAAGAGGCTGATAAATCTGGGACAACACCTGACAGTTCAAGTGCCACTTGCTGTTCTGGAACTCCTTGATGGCTGAGGACATCAGTGGCTTTCAAACACCTATGTAATGCAATACCAGAGATTACTGTGCAAAAATTCTAGGCTTTCCTTTCAACTAATAAAGCCTCTATAACCAGCCACCTATCTGTCTACCAAGTTTGGTTCTCCAGATCATGACTGTTTAGCCCTGACAGATGAACTCTTTACAAAGCAGGCTGGACCTTCAAGCAAAACCCTTGTCTGATGCTAAATATACCCTAGTTATGGATGAAAATAGCTCAACCAAGGATAAAATTTGCTGAACTGGATATGCTATTGTCACTGCCAAAAAGTTGCTCCTAGCCAGACCTCTTCCACAGGGCTGATCTGCACAAAGGGCCAAAATATGGGCCCTAATACAAGCTCTTAATTGGGCAGAAAGGAAAAAAGTAAACACCTACACTGACTCACAGAAGTCAAACTCTGTAGGGGACACAAATCATCTTCTGGTACTTGTCTGTACATACTCTGGATGGCCAAAGACATTTTCCACTAAGACCAAAAAAATAATTGAGGTCTGTAGGATTTTGCTAAGAATAATCATTCCTAGATACCGATTGCCCCTAACCATAGGTAGTGACAATGGGCCTGCCTTTGTGGCTGAAATAACCCAACAATTAGCTAAAATGCTAAAAATTAAATAAAGCTTACATTCAGCATACAGGCCACAAAGTTCGGGAAAAATTGAGAAAATAAATAAGACCCTAAAGTCAGTTCTGACCAAATACCACCAGGAAACACAGGCACCTATGGCCCTTCTTAAAGTTCAAAGCTCACTGGGGCCCACAGGGTAAACAACTTTCGAGGTCTTTATATGAGAGACCTCAGAGGTCTCAAAGGGGACCTACATCAGTTGGGTAACATATCATACAGTTAGGGAAGACTTTTCCCCAGATACACAAAGACATAGCTGAAAGACCAAACATATCCAAAGACACACCTATGTGTACACATTGCCCTGGAGATATGGTCTGAATAAAAGACTGAAAAAGGAAGCCTTTCACCACTTGAACAGCCCTTAAAGTTTCAGAACTCCAGCTGTGGATCCATCACTCAAGTCAAAAGGGCTCATCTGGATGACTGCTGGAAGGTCTAACTAGATGAGTCAACTCCTAAATCATCCTAAAAAGACAACACAGTCAAAGCCCTGCTCCTGTCACTCCAGATGCTGACAGGTCTATGCATGGCTCAAGCTTGAGGACCTCAGCCTGCACCCTGCTGTTTGCCTGCAAAAACTCTATCCTTTTCATCTTACCTGCTTTGTCTCAGAATGTATCAGTGCTGTAAAATTTCAAACGGTTTTGAGAGTTTTCCCTTTATACACAGCTCTAAATATTAAAAAAAGGCTCCCAACCCTGATAAAGATTTATCCTTGTAACAAAAAGAGGGGGAAACGAAAGGGAATTTGTAGGTAGACAGAAATATTTCTAATAAAATAAACAACAACTATTGATTAACTGTGTTTTTAAGCAACTGTGGGTTAACTAGGTAACTATGTTCTTTGTATAATGTACCGGAGTAGCCATGACAATTTCTGTAATTTGTCACCATAGAGTGTAATGAACTCAGACAGTCCCACTAGAACTCTTCGCTCTGCCTCCATCCTGTTCTGCTTTGTGTAAACTCTGCTTCTTCACCTTCTGCTTGTAACCCTATAAAACTGCTGGCCTGCCAATATTCTGGGCCTGACTTCTTTGGGAATGATCTCAGTCAGGTCTACTGATGTAATAAAAGAGTTGTACACTGCCTTCTGCTCCCTTGGGTGTCTTCCTTTCCCAGATTCAGTTTGCTACAAGTACTTTTTTGTTTTTGTTTGGTACTAGGGATGGAACGCAGGACCTTGCACTTGCCAGGAAGGTGCTGTGCTGCTGAGCTATGTCCCTGGCCAAATTTAATTTATATTTTTTTCTCTCTTTTAAATTTTTTCCAGCCCGGTGTGGTGGCACACGCCTGTAATCCCAGCACTGGGAAGCCTGAGGCAGGAGGATCACTGTGAGTTGGAGACCAGCCTGGGCTACATAGTGAGTTCCAGGGCAGTCTCAACTATATTGTGAGACCCTGTCTCAAAAAAAAATTCTTTCTAAATTTAATTTTTTCTTTTCTTTTTTTTTCTTCTGGTACTAGGGATCAAACTCAGGGCCTCGTGCCTGCCAGACCAGCACAGTGCCACTGAGCTACATTCATGGGCAATACTGAGTACTTTTTAACAGCTGATTTTTGTTATACAAATTCATAATGGAAGCTTGATGTAGTAAGTAGCACACATATATAATCCTAAGACTCTGGGAATCTGAGGTAGGAGAATCATAAGTTTAACTCTGGTTAGGCAACATAATGAGACTCTGTCTCAAAAAATAAAAAGGGACAAAGATATGGCTCAGTGTGAAGACCCTAGATTCAATCCTGAGTACCACCAAAAATCAAAATAAAGCACGTGCACACACACACACACACACACACCCCATAATAAAAGTTTCAATCTAAACGTCCAGGCTAGGAGAGCACACATAACTCCACAGCTACTCTCTGGACACTATGAAAGGACGCAAACCCCATGTGCTCCTGACACACAATGTCACAGCCCTGCATCATCTGCGAGAGACCTTCATCCACACAGTATGCCCCAGCCCACCTCAGGGATATGGTACCCATTGTCTTACCACCTAACTACAGCCCTAATTTTATTCTAGAAAGTTTTATTTCATACAAGCAACTTAACACTAAATGCCAGGCTCACCAAAGCTCACCTCTATGATTGTGTCCCCTACAGCCTTGGCGTCACAGAGACTGACACATCTTCTGATGACTATACTTCAGTTATCTTCCCTATTCATAAGTATTCTTGAGACAGGGCTTTGTTGTTGTTTTTTTGGAACCAGGGATCAAACTCAGGACCTTCTGCTTGTGAGGCAGGCAGTGGCACCACTAAGCTAAGTCCCCAGCCCCATAAGTATTCTTGACCCCCTACCCCCACATACTGGAGATTGAACTCAGGGCTTTTGTACAGAACTCCACCTTCAGTCCTTTTATTCTTTTGATACAGGGTCCCTCTAATTGCTCTGGTTGGGCTTAAATTGTTATCCGCCTGCTTCAACCTCCCAGATCCTAAATTTTTGAGCACTACCCATGATGAAAATCATCCACCTTTAAGTCATTACTTACACCATTTTAAATGTTTGATGTGGTAATCACTATTGTTTTACTGTACTGTACCATAGTATATCCAACATTACAAAGAATAATGCAGAGAATGAATTCTTCCTACAGTATCAAGATCATAGCCTGAAGATTCAGTCAAGACAGGTATGTTAGGTCTCCAATAATGAAAAGACAAATATACTATGCTGTATGGAACATTTTTCTCTGCTTAACTTTCAAACGTGAAGCTAATTTTAATATATCCCCAAGTATCCAAAACATTGTGACACAAAGCAAAATTTAAACATCAGGTACAGAGGAAAAGATAAAACAAGACTAGACTTTATCCTCACAAGTACCACCCCCTTAGTACCAAGTAATCTGGAAGAAAAGCTTGCCATTGGAACTAGATAACTAGGGGAAAGCACAAATGCAGGTCCCAGCAGTTATAAAACATATAGTAGAAGACAGCACAGGGGACAGCACATCTGGAGTACAATGGATGAGTCTCACTCTGGGAAAACCACCTTCATGATCATGAAATCTCCCCTGCCAGGTAAGTATGAGTTGTCAGGACCTGCAGCCTTTACAGCCTGGTGTGTATAGCACTATTTACCTAGGGTCTGAATGTAATAGTCATCTAAAAGCTCCATAAGAGACATTACAGGAACAACTCACACATTCAACATTTGTGTAGAGTTGCAGCCTTTGAAACCCCCAAACTACACTCTATGAAACACAAGTGTAGAAGCAGCAGCTCTTCCCAATTTGCACTGGAATTCTTCATCTACATATTACCTGTGTCCACAGATGACATCAGCACAGGGGACCCACTTCCACTCTCCGCTCCTAATTCCTGCTTTCTTCCGCCTAGAGAATACAAATGCTGACTGTAGAGCTTATTAGAATGTATGACTACTGCTTTTCCTGTACAGCCTGCCACAACCCTAGGGATGTTTTATTTTATAGGCACAGAAATCAGATGCATAGCTTTGGAGTGAGTCACATCTAATAGAAATTTTAAAAATGTGGCAGTGGCCAACACTCATATAGTACTTACTATATGCAGGGCACTGTGCTAAATCTTTTACCTAAAATAACCAATATCAATTAAGCATCATAGGCCAGGGATTGAGCTCAGTGGATCCACTGCCTGCCTTGCAAGCGCAACTTCCCGAGTTCAATCCCCCTTAAAAAACCAAAAAAACAATTAAGCATCATATCCATATAATGAGATAGATTTTTTTAAAGATAAAATTCTTGCTAAGTTTTCCAGGCAGGACTCAAACTTCTGACCCTCCTGCTTTAGCTTCCTATACTGTTGGGATTACAGGCATGGACTACCAAGCCCACTTGAGTTAGTTACTATGGTTATCTCCATCTTTATAGATGCGAAAACAGGCACAGAAAGGCTAACTTTCAATGTCACACTGTATTTGTCTGACCCCATTTGATGAATGAGTCCTCAGACTAGCCCATTTGACCCATTCATTCATTCATTCATTCACACAACAAACATATGCTGCATTCCTATTATTGGGGATATAAGGGTGTTTAAGAGTCCATCTCTGTTTCCAAAGAATTTGAAGGCTACAGGGAAAAAGGCAAATTAAAATGAAAAATCCATTGTGACACTTTCCTTAACCCTCACTTTAAGTCAAAATTCCTGGTCACCCCCACTATTCTTACAATGCTTTCTTAAGGCAGGAGGCCTCTGCTGAAGGATGATAGCAGCTTTTCTCACAATGACTACTTCTCAACAGTTTACTTCTTCAGAGATAAGAAGAGCAGATTTCCTAGAAGGGATGCCTTTTCTTTCTAGTCCTTTTCCTCCTCTTCCTCCTCCTCTCCTTCTACTCCCCCACCCTCCTTGCAGTGCTGGGCATTGAACTCAGAGAGTTGCACATACCAAACAAGTACTCCATCACTGAGATAAAAATCCCTGGCCGTTAGAAGGTATGACATGTGAGACAGAGAAGGGGGAGATACACTGTACTACTACTTATAAAAGAAGACAAAAAAATCTTAAGAAAATATAAAGAGAAATGGGATCTAGGTTGGAGTGAAATAGGAGATTAGGGTGGGACAAATCAGGCTGGGGAAGTAGGCATGACCTGTTAATTACAAAGATCCTGGAGGGCTGGGGATTTAGTTCGGTGGTTCCACCACCTGCCTTGCAAGTGCAAGGACCCGAGTTCGAGCCCTGGTATCAAAAAAAAAAAGGATACTTCAACAAAGATCCTGAAACAAGTATACAGAACAGTTCTCAAAGTCCTGCATCTGGACTTCTTGCAAAAATTCCAACAGGTTTTCAATAGGATGGACTATACCTGATGTCAGTCTGAGGTGTGGGATTCCAACACTACCTCTCAGGACCCATATGTAGTTCTCATGGGTTTCCTCAAGATTTGGACAGTATAAAAGGACACAGATATATAGCCAAAATGTTTGCTATTGTGGTTTTCCTCATGACAGCCCACTCTACTTTCTATAGGGTGTCTTTTGTCTTGCTCTCTTACTTGGCCCAAGTTTGCTCAGTTTCTCCCTCATTCTTCACTTTTATTTTTTCAAATAAACTATGCCACTGCTTTTTGCTCACTTCATTCAATTCTTTGTTTGATATGAGAAAAACCTGAAATCTAACTCCAGGAGAGGTGAGCAGACTGGAGAATGGGAGAAAGGGGTCATAAGCAAGTAATGTGGGAAGCATCTTCAAGCTAGAAGAGGCAAGGTAATAGATTTTTTTTTTTTTAGTTTTCATTTTATTTATTTTTTAAAATGATATAATTTATACTTTACTTTGGTAATGGATTCTTCCTAGAGCCTCTATAGTAGACAAAGATTCCAAAATGTGGCTCTGCTGCTTTATGACCCAAGAACCTCCAGGAGAAAGTGTTCATTAGACTTTCACATTCATGAAAAGCATGAAAAAATTTTTCTAGCACTTGGGCTAGGGGTGTAGCTCAGTGGTAGAGATAATTCATATGCAAAGTGCTGGGTTTATAATACAGGTTCCTAACACCACACATCCTACCACCACAAGGAACTGGTGATGCACCTTATTTGTGTCTTTAATGAAAGATTTCAGACAACACATGTAGACCACTGTATAGAGTACAGGTAAGTTTATTATAAAATGATAGATTTTGAGAATGAGAGTGAATACACACTTAAGTGTGAAGATGAGCAAGTGCCAAGATAGCAGTTGCACTGAATGAGGTCTCATGGTACAGTTCTATGATTAGCTCTTTTTCTCTAAAATCACTGTGCTATAAGGAAAAAAAGCCCCATTTGCTTCTAGGTAGATGTTTTCCTTTTAGCTTGTTTTGAGACCTTGAGGTTTTACCAACCTCTGATCCATGGTCTGGACTCTATATAGCCTTAGATGTTATCAGCATGCTACAAGATGTTATAGTTTCTTGGGCTAAAGTTTGAAAACACAAGCTTATGTGGTTTATCTACAGCTAATGATTAATAAAGCAAAGGGAAAACATGTCTTCTTTACACTCATGCCAAAAAGCAAACCTCTACCTTTCTCTTGATTTTTTTTTTTTGAGACATCTTGGTAGCCCCGGCTGACCTTGAACTTGCAACAATCTTTCTGCCTCAGCCTCCTGAGTGCTGGGATTATAGGCATGTACAAACTTCTCTTAAACAAATGCAATCAGGGCAAAGCATGAATGCATTCTCTCACCATCAGAAATTATGCAGTGGAATTTCTCACCTGTGGAGAAATCCAAAGGGTCAGGATATCTGGAATGCAATGGATAAGCCTTCTCCTGAGAAAAGCACCTTCATGATCATGGTATCTCCTGTACCAAGTTGGCAATTCACCTTCAGCCTAAAATTGCTCTTAGCTTTATTTTTTCATGCAGACCATCAACTCCCACAATTCTGGGGTAAACAGTTTGCAAATTATAACCATGCAACATTGTATATATGTGTATATGAGCTGGGTGTGATAGCATGTTTGTAATCCCAGTACTCTGGGAAGCTAAAGCCAGAAGACTTCAGGTTCTAGTCCAGATTGGGCAACTTAGTGACTTAGCAAGATCCTGTCTCCCATTCCCCCAAGAAAGGGGCAGGGCTAGGGATATAGCTCAGTGCAAAGGCCCTGGGTTCAATTTCCAGTACCATACAACAACAACAAAACATTATATATCTAGATGTGCCAAAAATCTTAGGAAAATAGGCTTATGGAAGGAATGACCAACAGTGACTCTTATCTACACATACCACACCCCTTTTACTGAACTCAGTATATCTTGGTGATGTTATGGAAATAAAGCTTCTTGGTGTGTCACAGTATACATCTATAATCCTAGCACTTCTGGAAGCTGAGACATGATGATCCAAGTTTGAGTCCAGTCTTGGCAATTTAGTGATGATTAATAAAACAGAGACTCTGTTTCCATATAAAATATTTAAAAAGGTGTGGGGCCAGGGATTTAGTTCACTGGTGCCACTGCCTGCCTTGTAAGCACAAGGACCCAAGTTCGATCCTGGTACCAATAAATAAATAAATAAATAAATGCATACATAAAAAGGTATGGTGATATAGCTAAGTACAAAGGCCCCGGGTTCAACCTCCAGCACAGGGAAAAAACAAAACAAAACAAAACAAAACCACTTAAAAATACTCTGGATCAAAAGCTAAACAACATAAACTAGCTCCTGCTTTCATGGAGTTTGTTATGGTTTGCATCTGAAAAGTCCCCCAAAAGACTCCTGTGTTCAGAGGTTAGACTTTTGAAAGATGACTGGATCATGTGGATGCTATACATTATCTACAGATAAATGTACTGTTAGGAGGTGGGGCCTCGTCAAAAGAGGCAGGTCACTGGAAGTGAGACTAGGCTATGCCTCCCTCCCTGGCTCCTCACTTCACTCTGGTGACCATGATGCGAGCAGGCCCTTCCAGAATGGAATTTCTGTATTTGAGCCTGCCAACCATGGACTAAAACTTCTGAAACTGTGAGCCAAAATAAATTTCTCCATAAGTTGTGGCTGTGGTGTATTGTGTCTCAGAGATAAGGAGAGTGATTATGACACATTCTGGCACCAGGAAAGTGGGGTTGTTGCTGAAAATATATCTGACCATGTAGTTTAGAAGCTTTCGGAATTAGTTTGAGGGATGAGTTTGGAAAGGTCTGGAGACGCCAACTAAGAAGGTGAAAAAGAATGCTGTAGGCTCAGCTTGATAGGAGAGTCTAGTCAGAGCTCAGAAGACCAGAATTCCAATAGAAATGTAGAGTAATAGCCAGGCTCAGGAGGTTTCAGCTTGGAGCAAGAACTTCATTGGTAGTTGGACCCAAGACCATGTGTGTTATGCTTTGGCAAAAAATTTGTCTGTTTTGGCCAAGTTCTGTGTGTGTGTGTGTGTGTGTGTGTGTGTGTGTGTGTGTGTGTGTGTTTTGGTACTGGGGATTGAACTTGGGACCTTGCACTTGCAGGGCAGATGGTGGCACCACTGAGCAAAATCCCTGGCCCTTGGTCATGTCCTTTGTGACAGGCTAAGATTAGTGACAGTGGACTAATTAATCTAGCAAAATTTCAAGGCAGCCCAATGTTCAGGTTGTGGCATAGGTATTCCTGGTACTGTTCAGCCAGATTTATAGTGGAAAAAAAAGAAGCTGAACCTTGCACTTGCAGGGCAGATGGTGGCACCACTGAGCAAAATCCCTGGCCCTTGGTCATGTCCTTTGTGACAGGCTAAGATTAGTGACAGTGGACTAATTAATCTAGCAAAATTTCAAGGCAGCCCAATGTTCAGGTTGTGGCATAGGTATTCCTGGTACTGTTCAGCCAGATTTATAGTGGAAAAAAAAGAAGCTGCTGGGCATGGTGGTGCACACCTGTAATCCCAGCACTCAGGAGGGTGAGGCAGGAGGATTGCTGTGAGTTCGAGACCAGCCTAGGATACACAGTGAGTTCCAGGTCAGTCTGAACTACATAGTGAGACCCTGTCTCAAAAAAGAAAAGAAAAGAAAGAAACAAAAAGCACATAGTTGGTTTTTTTTTTCAGTTTTGTCAGAAAGGAAGCCCTTGCAAAGTTGGAGAAAAGGAGAGCATGGAATTTAATTCTGAGAAGCCAAGTACTTTGCATCAGAACAATAGGAAAGATGTATTGAGCTATGTATGGAATCAGCAAGACCCCATCTTTAACAGGCTCAAGGGTGCAAAAGCAAAAGACTCTGCTTTGAGCTCAGAGTCCTAGGGCAACCTGCTGAAGGGCTACTTATGGTATTGATTCTTTGGGATATGGTTCACAGTGCTCAGCCATGTAGGTACTTGGAGGCCTCTGCAGCAATGATCCAAGGGAACCCCAGTATTGCTTGAGTTGTCAGCAGATGTTGGTGTCATCCACATGATACTGGTTTTATAAGCTAGGAGAATGCAAGAATTATCATGGAGGTTTCTATCAGATTTCAGATCTGTGAGGTCAAGCAGTGTGCCCCTGAGAGGGCAATTCAAGATTTGAGTGATGATAATAAAGCAGTGAAGACAATAGGCTGTTGGAGAATCCAGGAATTTGGACCAATTGAGTAAAGCCACAAGTAGTGAGCAGAGACAACCAAAGAGAGGCCATAAGGGCTCACTAGCATTGCCACAGGGGTGGGTCTACTCAAGTACTTTGGAGATCACATCTTATCACAACTTGTGCTGGGTACTAAACATGAAACTACAGGAATTAATGTTTGCCCTGTTGGATTTTAGTCTTGCTTTGGTCCCATTCCTTTCTCCCCTATTCTCTCTTTAGGAACTGGATTGTATACTCTGTGCCATAATATGTTTAATTTTCTTTCTTGAAAGAAATATGAGTTTGCAGCTGAGAGTCTATCTGGAGTCTCAGTGGAGACTTTGAACTTGAACTTTCCAAGAATGCTGAAACTGTTAAGACTTTGGTGGCTCTCAGAGATGCACTAAATATATTTTGCATAAGGAGATGTGAATGGTTCTTTGGGAGTCAGGGGCAGGCTGTTGCAATTTGGATCTGGAATGTTTCCCAAAAGACTTGTTCAGAGGCTGGACTTTTGGAAGATGATTAGATTACAGGGGCATCTGTAATCAGTAATGAACCTGTAATGTTCATCAGTGGATTAATCGAGAGCTAAAAGTGCTGTCAGGGAGTAGGGCTTGCTCAGAAGAGGTGTGTCACCAGGGGTGTGATCTGGAAGGGTGTATCTCCCTCCATGGCTTTTTGCTGAGCTCTTTGCTTCCTGGCTGTCATAATATGAGTAGCTTTCCTCTGCAGCAGGTCCTTCCAGCATGCCATTTCTGCATTTGACCCTTCTGACCACAGACTCAAATGTCTGAGGCTGTGAGCCAAAATAAACCTCTCCTTTAATTTGAGGGTACCAGGTATTGTGTCTCAGCAATGAGAAAGTGACTAAGACAGGATTGGTGCTAATTATGTGACGGTGATTTCTGGTACAGTTCAACTAGCCAATATCCACATAAGGTGAAGGAGCAAGTTTGAAAAGACAGAATTTGGTAAAATTGTAAACACTTCTTGTTTAATGACTGAGTTAATGATTTGTGATCAGGTCATTAAATGAATTGGTCAATAAATGAGAGATTGTATATAGTATGTACATTACAATATTTAGAATAAAGAAATGGTCAAAGGAAACTTCAACTTGATGTCTTTGCTTTTATTTGCATTATTCTTACATGCAGTACTGTAATGTATAACAGAATATAAAACCACAGTACTGTACTATGCAGTAAAATCAGCAAAAAAAAAAAATTGCGATATATCAAAGGGCTGGGGATTCAGCTCAGTGGCACAGCACCTGCCTGGCAAGTGCAAGGTCCCGAGTTTGATCTCCGGTACCAAAAAAAAAGGGGGGAGAGGCATTGAGACACTATATCCAAAATGTACATAACTATTTAAAAAAAAAGATCATAAGTCTGAGCAGTGGGTCATAAGTTCAAACTGTTGTTCATGTGTAGATTGATAAATGAGAGATGTCTGTATTAGACATTATATTGTCAAAATAGTTCAATAAAAGCAATTTGTTTTTCTTTTTCTGTTTTTTGTTTGTTTGTTTTGGTTTTGAGACAGGGTCTCACTATGTAGTCCAGGATGGCCTTGAACTTGTGATGCCACTGCCTCAGACCACCTGAATTCTGGAACTATAGGGTGTATCACCAGGCCCAGCTGGAAGCCATGTTTTGAATATGCAATTTTGGTTCATTAATGAAAGAGCTTTTGTAGATCATTGCAAGGGACTCATGAAGCTAAAATACTACTACTAAGATATCACAAAACCATGAATCTGATTGACTATGTAAAAATCCCTGGACATGCCAAATATCTTTGACAATGAAACTGGTAGAGCCACTGCTTTGTCCACCCTACAGTGAATATCTGGAGGATAGAAAGACATAAGATATGTAGTAAAGGAGCTTACTAGCTAGGAATGTAAGACAAAAATTAAACACATAAAACAACCACATAGCCAAGAATAAGAGTGATAATCAATTGTTCAATTGTTTCCTGTGGTTAAGTGTATATATAACCCTTGAGAAAACATGTGCACCCATCTGGGACATTTCTACATGTCAAAAGTTTCAAAGGTAATGTCACTTCTAAAGAGTGTTTATATTTGAGGATTTATTTAACTCCAAATGAATCAGTTTTATTATCACCTGAGGAACTGTTGGAAGTAAATAGTCTCTACAAGTGAACCCAATAAAGAGTGCACAGATAAATTTGGCTGGTCTTTTGGCACAGCTGTTCTGAATGTATCATGTGTGATCAAAAGGTCTCATAAGGCTGAACTTCAAATCACTCTCTTCTGCATCAAAACAGGCAAGCCATAC